GGTGATACTTCCTCTTATTCGCCTAATCTTGGCACAATTCATTCTTAACTGCGTAGAATAAAGTAAACAGCACTAAGACCAGAATATTTGTGAATGTTTTCAATTTAATGTTACATCACAAAGAAATTGGCTTATTTTGTTTATTTGACTAGCCCATTTCTGATTTGTTCACTTAAATTAATACCTGCAGCCAATCCTTGGATATTTAAGCTGAGCTTGATTAGTCATTTTTTCAGACATTTCAGGCTTGCTACAAATTAATTTATCAGTTATAAAGTCTTATGCGTTTTATCGGACTAGTTTGTTACACCACCTTTTAATAGGAAGAATTGCCATTTTAGTTTACCACTGAATGATATCCTAACTTGAATCTATTTCCTCTTTACCTAGGCCTACATTCATGGTAAGCGCCTTCCACCTGTGGCAAAACGAACGTCGGCAGTTCGCACATCCATTCACCGCCCAGTTGTAGTGGCAACCATTGATGTCGATGTCGACCAACATCTGCGTTATCGAGAGCCAAATTCCAACGAGACATCAAGTCCCTCAGAGACTTTGCTTAAGGATTCTCCAGCGCTTCTTCCCCAGACTCTTGAGCTTAGTCGGAAAACTGACAAGCAAGTGATTTAATGCAGTCACTCTTGTCCAGTTAGCGAAGAAATAAAAACGTCTACAATTGCTCTTACGCAATTGCTCTTACGGACTAATGGGTCCGCAAATTTCCCCTCTAGAAACTCACGCCCTCATCACAAGCATATGGCTGGAAGCACTTGTAAACCACTCATTTCTCACAAGTCCGAGGTATGTCTACTTCACTTACCCTCTTAGTTAACCAATGTATTATTTGCTCTGGCGGTTGTTGGGTATAACTTAATCATTATGCTCCCCTTCGCCCTATTCTGTCTAACATCCATGCGCCATGCGAAGATTTTACAAGAATGAGATTATCATATTTCCTTATTCTGCCATATTTTCTGGCTCTTGTGGCCTTCACATTTATATTTCTTTATCCATCTTATACTTTTATTAACTGGCGCAACCATAACTCCTTCAGTATATTAAAGGACAGTGCAAATATCTACATTTATTCACACTAGTAGAAGAACGCGTTCTAACTGCTTTCATTTGAAATTTTACAATCTAAATCTGGCATTCGCATTTCTATGTAAGCTTTTTGTTTAACAGATCCGAACAAAGACATTTTCGTTGATTTTTTATTTTACTCAACGTGACCTAATAGATGGACTATTTCATCGAATCATAGTCCCGGGAAACAGTTCAGTATGATGATTGTGCCGAATTGAGTTTCAAGGAATTAACTATCAGCACTGGCAATCGATTTATAGAAAAACTTTTATTTCCACTCCCAATTCATTTGCATTTTGCTCTTTGAATTACACTCTTCTTTTTTCAAACTTTTATTCCAAAAATGTTTAGCACTTTAGCATGCGATTACTATCTCCGATGTTAAAGCAAATGTTCCATCGAGCCTGATATATATATGTATATATATATATATATATATATATAT